CGAACAAAAATGTAATGAATTTTATGAGAGTAGTGATATATAATTTTTTTTTTCTTTAGAATAATAGAAACGTTATCATGTTAAATTGTGTTGTTTTTTTTGTTTCTTTTGTAAACGCATTACCTTTAACTAAATAAATTTTACTAAACTTTTTATCTTAAGATCTATCTAGCACCACATATTGCCAAATATACAAAGCGACAAATATTAGCACTAATAAGCGTCACGTATTTGGCATTTCTATATTGAGATGCGACGTTGATTCAACATAAAATACAAATTTAAACCAACATGTAATACAAATTTAAATCAGCATATACTCAACGTTAAATAAACATAAAATACAACACTGAATAAACATAAAAAACGTTGATAAACATAAAATATAACGTTTGATCAACATAAAATACAAATTTAAATCAACATATATTCAACGTTAAATAAACATAAAACACAACATTGAATAAACATAAAACACAACGTTGAATAAATATAAAATATAACGTTGGATCAGCATAAAATACAACGATAAATCAAAACAAATATAACGTTGAATCAACATAAAATACAACGTTGAATAAATTTAAAACATAACGTTGGATCAACACAAATTATAACATTGAATCAACATAAAATACAAAGTTGAATCAACTTAAAATACAACGTTGATTAAGTATTATATTCAACCTTGCACCAACGTAAAGTCTTACATTTTACCGAATTAAAACAAACGTTTTCCAACGTTAGATTTTTGTTGTTGTCGACGTCGCATTTTTAACCATAACAATTTAAAAACAACGTTGGCCACCAAAGTTGGGCCAACGTTCCGCGCGACATTGTTCTAATGTATTAACAACGTATGTGTGCTAGCTAGGAAGTTCTTGTCACAGAGAAACTGTTATTGAAAAAATTAGAACGTTTTTTTTTAAATAGTTTTTCCTTTTGTTATTGCGTATACGCCTTGCATCAATCAAATTACTGTGTCTTCCGAACAGCTAAATCATGCGAACAATGTTCACAATTTTCTAAATAAATCTCTTGCACCGACTGAATTTAATTTGTTGAAAAAAATCACTGAAACTTATTAAATGCTACATACTATTTACTATATATCATTTTATATAATCAATGTAACTACATTTCAAGACTAAATAAAGTACATTTCTAGATCATTCAAAAGATTGTGCAAAAGGACCTAGATACGATGATTATTGGTGTTTATTTAGCCAAATTCCCAAAAATTACGTTTACGCTGGTGAACCTAACCCTAACACTTAAGTAAGTCAAAATTTATTTATCTTCTTTGTAAAATTACTTTTTTGAAGCACATAAATTTTATCAATCCAGAATGTGGTATAATACTAATGTTATTTTAAGAATAACTTTAAATGGAAATATTAAAACTTATAAGACAGTAAGATTTTGTGGTTGATAAGATGAAAATCAAGAGTTTTTTTGAATTCAATACAACTACAAAAGTTGACCTAATTAAAATGGGATTTTCAAATAGCACTTTTAATGAATTTAAAAATAAAACTTAAAATTTGACAAAATATGTAATTGTTTATTGGAGGGATGTTTGCATCTTTCTGATATGCATTTGGACCATTCGTTTCTAGTAACTATAAAGAGATTCCAAAGTACTACTAACATATTCTAAAAAGAAAACATTTTTAAATTATAATTTAACTTAATGGCAGCAGATAATGTTTATACAAACTATTAATCCTTTTTATTCATTGTATTAAGAATTACAAAAATGTTAAGGGTTATTGTATTTTTCCATATTTCCATATCTCCATATCTCCATATCTTCATATCTCCATATTTGATGTTTAGGTTAATATTTCAATTCCTTTTTTTTTAAAGATTTTAAAAAGCTAAGTTTTCAAAAAAATACAATTAATTACAATCTTATGCTTTATTATTACCTATTAGGTTTTAAATAGTATAGTTTATTGAAATAAGTTTGGGTTTAGTTTCACTCTGAATACATTTAAAAATATTCACCTACTTTCAGTGTTGACACTTTTTATCATCAGAGCAAATTTTTATTGTAATATTGCTGCTACAAATTCGATATTGTAACAGATTTCAGTTTTCATAAAGATATTTTTAGGGTTCAAAAGATTAGTTCATATAAAAAAGCTAACAACTGGCAATTAAGTATGGAAATCACATGTTTTTAATTCGATTTTAATTTTGTCTACTTTTGTAAAATTACCAGAATGTTGTTGAAGTGTAAGAAATACTTAAACCCAGTGGCGCAGTGAGTTTTGGTGGGAATCACTTTTTATGGGATAGCAGGTTAATGAAAATAATTAATTTCAACTTAAGTCGAGAAATTGCTTTGATTTCTCCATAAAAAGATTGCTTCAGAGTTTTCTTTTACTTTGATATGCTTTATACTCTTTAGATCTAAATACTTTACTAAAGTATGTCTGCATTTTAATTTTCTTGCAAGATCTCTATGCGGCTGACATATGCCTTTATGGAGCAAACGATAGATTTTATTTAATATTTATCTTTAAATCTTTTCTTTTTTCTACTTCCAGGTTCTTTTTTTCAAACCATAAGTCTGTTCATAATTGTGCCAAAATAAATTGAAATGAGGATCAAGATAAGTCCGTGCGTTTTAAAATATCAATTTCTGACAATGATTTTAAAAAGAAACATCTAAAATTTATCAATTTAATACATGCTTACTCATTTTAATTCAATAGCAATGATAATCAATACTTATTACCATTACAATCAAACAACATCGCAATTCTGTGTGCAAAAAATTTTAAAGTAAATTTTAAAACAAATTTTTGCACTTGCAAAAAAATTTAATTAAATAGTTCTTAAAAAATTTAGAACATGATTTCTGCATACAAAATAAACAAATTTAATTAGGTAATACAAAAAAGGAGTTTTAGTTAAAAAAAATATTTTGATGAATGGGGGCACTTAAAGTTAACTGGGCACTTGAATTTTTTTTTTCAAGAATTTTGATCAACTTTAAACTAATTTATCGTTAGTTTAGATTAATAATCAGAGTAAAATTATATGACCGTTAGGAATTCTGGGAGCACCTAAATAACCTGAAAAAAATATTTTCGTAAATTGCATAAACTCAATGCAGAAAACAATTATTATTAATAATATTATTATTATTGTTATTATTATTATTATTATTATTATTATTATTATTATTATTATTATTATTATTATTAGCTACAAAATCACTTAAAATCAAGTCCCCAGGGATCGATGACATATCTTGCAAAGTAGTGTTAGATGTTTTTGAGAAGATACGTAATCCAATTATCAAAGTGTTTAATTCATCAGTTACAACAGGTATTGTACCTGATAAACTAAAAATATCTAAAATTATACCAATCTGTAAATCAAAATTTGTCAAAGGCATTTGACACCGTTAACCAAGAGGTTTTATTGGAAAAAATGAAAAACTATGGCGTAAAAAATCAAGCTTTGAATTGGTTTAAAAACTACCTAAATAAAAGACAACAGTGTGACACTATAGATAAAAAAAGCAACTCAAGTTTACTGAGAACAAAATGTGGTGTTCCACTCTACCTCCTCTTTTGTTTATTATTTAAATAAACAATCTTCCAAATGCCTCTGATATCTTTAAAACTATAATGTTTGCCAACGATACAAACTTATTTTACTCAGCAAAGACAATTGAAGACTTTTTTGAAAAAACAAATACTGAACTAAATAAAATTATTTTATGGTTTAAATCCAATAAGCTGTCACTCGATATAAAAAAAACTAAGTATATACTATTTCACTCTAATCAACAAATTAAAAAAATACCCCTGAACCTACCAACACTTATTATAGAAAATATAACCATCAAAAAAGTTCTAAATACAAATATTTTAGGATTTTTAATTAACGAACATATCTCCTGGAAACCCCACATAAACTACATTAACTTAAAAATATCAAAGAACATTGGTTTACTATACAAATCAAGACCATTTTTGTCACAAAAAAGTCTAAAACATGTCTAATTTTTATACATACATAGCTACCTGATGTATTCCAATAAAGCATGGGGCAGTACCCACAAATCTAAATTAGAACTACTTTACCTACGTCAAAAACACGCTTCAAGACTAGTATACAACAAAAATAAATTTGCTCATACTCAACCCTTATTGTAACAAATAAGGGTTGAGTATGAACGCACTAAATATATTTCAAATAAATATTTTTCAAAATATACTTTTCATGTTTAAATATAAACTAAATCTGGTTCCATAACATTTAACAGCACACTTTTTTAAAAAGTATATAAGTAAATACAATACAAGAGCAACAGGCAACTTTAAGATACCGCTTGAAACAACAAGACTCTCAAAGTTCTCAATTACATTTCGTTGTCCCTAAGTATTTAACAAATTATTTACCAGAAACGAATCACTAATAAACCTAAACAACGAATACTCTCTAAAATAAAGCTAAAATTTACAATATTTAAATTAAGCAACTTTAAAAATTTTTTTTTAATGATTATAAAAAAAAAATTAAAAAAATAAAGCTTAGCTTTTAATACAAATCAATAAAAAAAAAATAACAATGTATATATATACATTGTACATAAACAATGTGTGTATATATATAAATATATATATATATATATATATATATATATTATATATATATATATATATATATATATATATATATATATATATATATATATATATATATAAACAAATGATACAAATAATGAAGATGTTTTTAAACAACTTTCATATAAAGCTAAAAACTTAGCAACCAACAAGCTATTGTAAAAACTATTAAGTTTTCTTAAAATAAGCTACAGCAATAAACAATTATTACCAAAGAACAAATATAGAAATCCTAGTAATATTAAAAATACATAGTTGTAAACAAAACATTGTAATAATATGTTTTTTGATTCTTTATAAAAAAAGTTTTTATCCATTTTTTCAAAAAAAGTATGTACTTAAAATACTTACTTATGTTGCCACTAATAATAATAAGGTTTTTTATGAAAGCCTTTGTTTCGTACCATGGACTTGAAGTATATACAATAACATTTTGAAAAGCTCGAAAGTTGTAGTTAATTTTAGAATGCACACAAATGCCATTCATTTTTATTGAGTACACATAATGACTGCAATTCCAAAATTGACTAATTTCCAATTTTATCCATTGGTTTAACTTATATTGCGTTGGTATTACGAAGCAATTATCTTCGAAATTATTGCTTACAGTAAAGCAAATCTCTATTTCTTTATTCGGAGATAAATAAATGCTTGGTATACGATTGCCAAAATTATAATCATTATTTCCAATTGTGAGTTGAAGAATACTGTACCAATCTAATAATGGAAATTCATTTTGTTGAAAATCAAATGTTACTAAAAACTGTTCATAAAGTTTTGGAATAACTGTAAGTTTGTTTCCTTTAAATGATTCAGTTACGTGGTTCTCAATAAGATTATCTATAAAAATTTTAAATAAAAAGTTACTAAAATAGAAAAAATTTATATAATCCTTTTAAAATAATATGTTATTTTTATTTTATAATATTATTACACGTCAAAAATTTTTTTATTGTATTAAACTTGGCACTTGCTCTTACATATTTTTGATACGCTTAATTCGAATCTTGCATTAGATTTTTTTTTGGAAAGCTACAATCTTGTTGCAGTAAATATTTTTTACTTTGCTAATTTTTAGAAATAATTCTAAAAAACAGATTTGAAACTCATAATAAAGTACTAGAATATGTTTTCAAAAGTTTTAATTTATTTGCAAAATAAAAACAAAAATACAAACGAGATTAATATAAATAAAACAGCTTAAAACGACCATTTGAAAAATACCAAAGTCCTATCAAAGTCATCGACTTTTTTATTGATTAATAGCAAAGTAATATTTTACTTAAGTTTTCAAAAAGATTGCAGATTATTAGATTGTATTATTTAGTTAAAACTATTTATTCAGAAAGAACTTTTCCTTATTGCTTTTTCGTTTAAAAGCTTTTACTGAGACTTCTCGCATATTACCCGATTAACAGCCTGCCATCATGTAACAATTGTAAAAATAATGAGGCAATCGTAGCAATTATGTCTTTTATAAAATGTGAGTTTACAAATGTGTAAATAAGCGAATACTTATATATTTCCTGCATATTATATTCAATTTATATACTAAAATACTTTAATTTTGATTTTGCTTTTTATTTTTATAAAACCTTATTCTCATACTTATTTATTTCTTATAAAAATGTATTTATAAAAATGCATAATATTTTCTAAAAAACTTATTTTATATGAAGTAAACACATTATATATATATATAAGTATTGCTTATAATAATAACTATTAACATCTCTTTATTTGTTGTTCGTGTTTATATTCTTTTTATTAATTGAAGTTTAAATCTTTATATATAGAAGTTAATAATAATACAATTAATATTCGCTTTATACTTATGCTTAATCTTATAGTAATAGTTATAATGCTCATTTGTGCGTGATTGCGCGGAACATGGGGCAGCCATTAAACCCGAGATACTAGCGAGAAAAAATCTCTCAGCACTTTTTTTTTTTTTTTTTAAATTGAAAAAAATGTATCATAATGATTTATTTCAAGTAAATTTCAAGTTATGAAAGTAGTAAAGTTTTTTTTTTAGGTTACAGTTTACATTTTAATTTTTCTACAATTAAGTTGAATTTGAATATATCAAGTTTTCAACAACTAAGTTATTATAGAATGCATTAAAGTATAAAATTATCTATAAAAATGTTTTGTTTTGCGTTATCAATATAAAAATATTTTAAATAAAAAGCAAGTTAATGAGATGAACTTCCCACGCGGTGAACTTAACTTTTTTAAAAACTGTATGGGGGTTTTAAAAAGTATGATAGAACATAATTAAAAATTCTATATTTAAACTTACAATAAATCATTTTATTAAATTTTATTTGTTTAAAAATAATAAAAAGTTTAGTAATAAGAAATTTAGAGTTGTGTTCTTTATTTTGTAATTTTTCATTTTTTTTTAAATTTAGGCGCCTTAATAAATCCTTATGGTCTTATCACAAAGCTTGTGGAAGAGCATTTAAAACTACTTCCTTACCGATGTCGCAAACTTTGCCTAGAGGTTAGGTTTGAAAAACGGAACCTTAGTTTCTGAGGCAAGTGCGCTACTATTACGCCACGGCTGCTTTTACCACGCCACCGTTAAATATTCCAAACCGAGTGGGCAACAACGTCAAAATTTAGAAAACCATCAAAATATTATTATACTCTGTATAACAGGACGAATGAATGAGTGCAAATTGGCATAAGTGCGTCATAAGCATTTACAAAGATTAGGATAAGTGCAAACCACAATAAGTACAAATTGGCATTAGTGGAAATGCAAACTGTAATAAGCGTAAGAATTAAAAGAGAAAAAAAAAATCATTATTTTTAAGTGTTTGAAAGAGAAAGCGTTGAATATATTATATATATATTAAATAAAATAATATATATCAAAATAAATTAAAATGAGCAAAGCTGAAATTGTTTCAATGGTAATGATGAGAGAGCTTCTAAACCTACAAAAAGAGGCAATCTTGTCATTCTTTACAGAAACAGTTAACACGATAAATTTAAAATTTGAATCAGTTCAAAAAAACATTCAAGACGTAAAAAAGGATCTTGATGATATTAAAGCTGGCCTAACATTTGTTGGTGACGCCTGCGACGATAAGGTTAAAAGTGTAAATGAAAAAAATGATAAAGTTAAAGAAGAGTTATATTTTTAACGGCGAAATAAACTAATAAACTATACAGCGTAAAGATAATACAGGGGAAATTTTCGACTGACAACAACGACCTAAAATTAAAATCTGTTGACATAGAATATTCGAAATCGAAGAAACAACTTGCGTATTGATGGTTTATCTGAGAGTAGCGATGAAAAAGGTTGGGAAAAAACTAAAGAAAAAGTAAATAAACTCTTTGCTGAAAATCTGAACATCAAAAGAGAAGTCAAAATTGAACGAGCACACAGAGTTGGAGTTTTGAACAATAATCGTGAACGAACAATTGTTTTGAAACTGCACAACTACGAGGACAAAAAAGTGATCACTTATAACGCATCAAAGCTTAAAGGTACCAATATTTTTATTAATGAAGATTTTTGTAGCACTACTCGAAAAATTTGAAAAGAGTTATTTGCTAAGGCGAAAATTTATAGACACAACGGTTTTTATGCTAAAGTTGTTTATTATAAACTAATTGTCCATGAATTCCGACAAAATAAATGTGCAAGCACAGAAAATATAATACCTCGGGATAAATAATTTATAAATATATTTATAGGTAAATTCTTATATACTTACTTAAAAATGGATTCGAATAATATTTTTCAACAAGGTTTTGAAAATATAATTTTTGACCCTTTGAAGACAATTTAAAAAATATCACAAATATTTTTCAAGAAACTCAAAGGAATTTAATGAAAACACCGTATTTTGATCCTTATGAACTTAAGGGAAAAAAAGAAACAAATTCCTTTTCTATATTACAAATAAATATTAGGAGCATAAACCAAAACTTTGACAAGTTTAAAGAATTCTTAAATATTATAAATTACACGTTAGACGTCATATCTCTTTCAGAGACCTGGCATGAAAATACACTTGATTCTAATTTTATTTACGAATTGCCTAATTATAAATTAACTAGTCAACCGCGAGAAAGTAATAAAAACGGAAGAAGGAGTTGGTGTTTATGTTTTAAACAAATATTCATTTTAAATAAAAAATAAACTATGCTCGTCAAATTTTAATTATGAAAGTCTATTTATTGAAATAATAAATGACAATAATAAAAACATTTTAGTTGGGTGCGTATATCGTCCACCGAGTGGAAAAATTAAATTATTTGAAGAATTCATAAAAAATACAGTCTCAAAAATAAATAAAGAAAAAAAAAATTTGTATATTGCCGGCGACATAAATTTGAACGCTCTGGCATATAAAAATAATCCAAAAACAAAATCTTTTTTTGACATGCTTTTTAAATATAATATCTTACCAGTTATAAATAAACCAACTAGGGTAACTAAAAGTTCGGCAACTGCAATCGATAATATCTTTATTAACAATTATATAGAAACGTCATTTGAGACAGGTATTTTTAAAACTGATATTAGTGATCACTTCCCAATATACGTTAAAATAAATCCTTTCAAAGCCCCATCCAACGGGGGTCCCAAAGTTATAACTCTAAAAAAATGCAACTTATCAGAAGTTAATAAGAATAATCTTTCCGATAAACTAAAGCAAGAGACGTGGAATCAAGTTTTCAATTGTGATAATACAAATAAAGCATTTAATATTTTCTTAAACACATTTCTTGATATTTATAACGAAACGTGCCCGTATGAATTCAAAATAACTAAAAAAAAACAATATTGAATCCTTGGATGAATAAAACTTTTATAAAATGTTTGAGAAATAAACAAAAACTTTACAATAAATTTTTAAAAAACATAACTGAAGTTAATGAAAAAAGTTACAAAAAATATAAACGCTTTTACGAAAATCTTCTCAAGAAAGCTAAAAAAACATATTATAATAAAGAAATTACAAAAATCAAATTCGATGTGAAAAAAACATGCGATTTAATTAACGATATAATGGGAAGAAAGAAAATAAATACGGCTATACTACCTCAAAGAATAAATATCAATGAAACTGATATCTATTGTCCATTACAAATCTCGAATGAGTTAAATAAATATTTTACAAACATTGACCCTAACCTTGCTAAAAAAATCATAACTACACCAAATTCTTTTCAAAAATATCTTAAATCTTTAAATGGCGCGATGCTGCAAGACCGCGAATTTTCTCATAAAGAGTATGAAATTGCTTTTTCTTTTTTAAAAAAGAATAAATCACCTGGTTTCGATGTTGTTTCTAGTAATATAGTTATTTCAAACAAAAAATACATCTCAAAACCTTTGTTCCATATTATAAAACTTTCAATAAAAGAAGGAATTTTTCCTGAAGCATTAAAGTTGGCAAAAGTATGTACAATTTACAAAAATAATGATCAATCTGAAATCTCTAATTATAGACCTGTATCAGTACCTTCTGTATTTTCAAAAATATTTGAACGTGTAATTTATAATAGAATCTATAACCATTTTAATGAAAATAATTTATTTTATACAAAACAGTTTGGTTTTCGGAAAAAACATTCAACAGAACACGCAATAATTGAAATAGTAGACCAAGTTACTAAAGGATTTGAAAATAATAGCTTCACTTTAGGATTATTTATTGACCTATCAAAAGCATTTGATACGGTTGATCACCTAATTCTTTTGGAAAAAATAAAACACTATGGAGTGATAAATAAAACCTATGATTGGTTAAAAAGCTACCTCACTGAGAGAAAACAATATGTTATTAGTAAGGAATCTGGTCAACTTAATA